TTATGGCCAGCAGAGAATGTTCAAGGCCGTCGAACAGGAATCCTGCTGAGAAGCAATAATTATTTGTAGTGCCATGATCCGGAAGCTAAAGCAGAAACATGCAGAAATTAACGAAAGCTAAAGAAATCGTGCTGCAGATGATCCCCTCGCAACCTGGTACAGGCAAGACATGCTAAGCAGGTCTACAAGCAATTACCAAACACGAAACTGCCTTTATCTGGCAAAAGGACACAACCTCATTACCGAGCATTTCAATCACAATAAATCAAGTCGACAAGACCAAAATAATAGTCCGGAGTTCATGCTAGAGATGGGTTTGGAATTATACTTCTGTCGCAGTCACTTTTCTAGGACATAATTATAATTCGGGCTCAAGCAGGGCACATTTTTGAAAACGACCTCACCTTTCGTGTTTGTCCTAGGAATGGACTGCTAGCTATTCAGGCGTCTGATAAGGCATGGCTGGTTCTCTGCACCTTCATTGTGCGTCACGAAACCAACAGCAGCTTTGAGGAGGCCTCGACGGACAACACAAACAAAAGAGGAGTAACCCGAAGCCACAAAGAGAAACGAACCACACAGCCATTACTTACATCAAGGAGCAGGAAGACGAATAGAACGAGGAAGAATTAGATTTATTGGGAAGATGGCCGTATCGAGCATGCGCTGTTAGCACTGTTCAAAACACGAGCTGCACGTTGATTGGCTGATTTTGAGACGTATATCTACCGTTCATGTGCAGCTGCTTGATGATCATTGCCATTGGGATAAAGAATCACAGCCAATCGTGTACTACACGTAGCGATGCTGAAGGCTGTGTGACCATGGTGACGACCTTTGGACCTTCGACCTGATGTCTGATCGCATCGTCCAGGTCTTTTGCATCTCTTTCGTCTCGCTCGAATCCCCTCGGATAGGAGCAGCCTACAACAACTACTTACAAGTGCATGTACAAGTAAATAATACTATCTACCATAGCATCAAGCCTTTTCGTGGTATGACTATGAGTAAGTGTAGCCTGTAAGCGTAAAAGGTCTGTCACCGGCCACCAGTAAATCCACCAGTGCAGTGCACTGACAGCAGTGTTCTCTTTTTTTTCTCCTTCTTTTTCTCAGTTTTCCCCACCATGGCTGGTTAAAATCGCCCGCATCACATGCTTATTGGCACCATGTCATCGTGATTGTGGAATAATAATAATAATAATCCGGTCCTCTTTTAGGCCTTGACAGATTATGCTAATATGTTCGTGAAATTATGCTTTTCGCATTGCTGAAAAAATTGCAGAATTATGCCATTTTTATGCTAAAAGTTATCATATTATGCCGCATTATGCTCACATATGCAGCTAATGTATAATGGTTCTGTGCAAAATAACAGGGGAAAATTTTTGTAGAGGGCGTTGTACTGTAGTAGCAAACGTTTAACGGGGTCAACGCACCGTCCGACATAGCTACGACCGTCACTGATTGTAGTGGACTGGACATGTTATCAAGCGAGTCGTAAACCTTCAACTTCCTGGTGCATCTACTTGTACTTGTACTTGTAGAACATGTACAACTGTATGGAATTTGATGCGAACAGGCGGATTATTCCCGATTTTATGCGATTCGTATGCAATTTGCCTCGAATTATGCGACTATTCGATTTTTGTAGGAATTATGCGAAAAATTATGCTAGCATAATCTGTCAAGGCCTATCCTCTTTCATCCCGTTCTCCCCTCTTTTTTGGGGATTCTTTGTACTTCGTCTTTCTTGTTTTTCTTGTTCCTTTGTTTTTTGTAGGACAGATTTTTGGTGTACTGATTTCGGTTGTTGTTGTGTCTGACTCTATTCCCAATATCTAATTCTGTGGTTGGTTTTCCAACTCATTGGGTTGTAGTTTCCATCATGAGTTTGATTCCATCGTGAGTTTTGATTCTATTTGCTATTTTTCGTTCCATTTTTGAGCTCATATTTTATTTTCCTGATTTCTTCTCCAGTGTATGTTGTATTGCATTTTAATACATTGTGTTAATTTTTGCCCGTAAAAGAGGCTTGCACTTATAAAAAAAATAATAATAATAATAATAATTCAAAGGATCAGTCGGGGAAGTGAACTGCCTGAAAAGAGAAAAAAACGCCAGACCCACCAGGACTCGAACCTGGGACCCTGCTTGTCATGAGCAATGCTCTAACCACTGAGCTATGGGACCAGGCTGAACCTAGAAGGCTTCCCCGACTGATCCTTTGAATTAGAAGTTCTCCCATCCTTTCCAAATTGAATCACTTTCTTTCACCTCTGGTAGTTTCCAGAAACTGACCGTGGTTGGTCCCCTGGGGGAGGGAAAAAGACCCAAGTGCCATCAGTATGTGTGGCACGTGTTGTGAGCTGCCTTTGGAGTGAAGAACTTGTCAGCGCCTTCTAGGTTCAGCCTGGTCCCATAGCTCAGTGGTTAGAGCATTGCTCATGACAAGCAGGGTCCCAGGTTCGAGTCCTGGTGGGTCTGGCGTTTTTTTCTCTTTTCAGGCAGTTCACTTCCCCGACTGATCCTTTGAATTAGAAGTTCTCCCATCCTTTCCAAAATAATAATAATAATAAGTTGTTGCCACTTGTGCCTAAATGTGTTTTGTCACCTTCTTGTTTATTATTGTTATTATTATCATTCGTTCTCACTTTTCTGTTTTTGTTGCTGATACACACTTGTCACGCTTAGTTCTTACTTGTATACCCTTGTTTTCTGCACACTTTTGTGAGAATTCGCACCTCGATATTCCAGTGCTGTCATTGTATCGTGTCACCCTACCTTGATTGCTATATTATTTCCTTTGTTCTCATTTTGTTCAATAATAATAACGTAGATCTATGCATACAGTGGGCAGTAGTCATGAAAATCATGCATGACAAGTCAATCCGTTCATTTGCGGTTATGCCGGATGTAGTGCGGTGACCGGCTTAGCCTGTCTCGTACTCAGTAGTAGATCTACTCATACATGTATGAACCCCTTTTTGGTTTCATGTAGACATGACTGTACTCTTGTCTTGGTTTACATTACCGCAAACTCGGCAAAGCGTGTCGTTCCAGAAACTATGGGAACATTTCGCTCACCAAGAGCCAATAATCTATAAACTAAGAGTAACGTTTCCAGCTGAGAAGTATATTGTCAGTGTGGGGTAGACGGCCCGGCATTCTTCTCGTGTGCTCCAGACTGCAGTCGTGAGTCAGTCAAGTGTCAGTCAGCAGGAAGCGCACTGCTCCAACGTTTGGAGCAGCCACCTTCTTCTACAATTACCCTGACCGAAATCGCAACATCTCAGTACACGTACTACGAAGTACATACAAGATACCCTAGTTGGAACAATCAACTACAAGATACAGTTCAATTAATTGCCACCCGAGACTGTTTCATCGCCAAAGACTCGCACTTCTGTGCGATCGGACCCCCCCCCCCTTCTCTCTCTCTCTCTCTCTCTCTCTCTCTCTCTCTCTCTCTCTCTCTCTCTCTCTCTATATA